ACATGTGTCAATTGAGGGAGGGCTCACTGCTCGAACTGCCACTTACCCTCGCTTGCTGTGTGTCCGTTTTGCAAAGGCCATTTTGAATCCAGTGAAGGAGAACATTTTGTGTCAAGCCTTTGAAAACACTGCCACAATTTTTGCAAATGAGAATGTTGACTACTGGAGCCAAGAGAATGGAATGCTCGTGCGCCATCACGAGACTGCACGAACTCAGGCGTTCAAACCTAGTGAGGTGGAATGCCCCATTCCTGATGCGCAGATTTCCTCTTGGCGCAAGACTGTGGCGGTGTTCTCAGACGGCACTAGAGATGAGAAAGAGGACCATTGGAGAGAGTCATCCGCGGAACCCTTTGAACACAGTAAAGGAGCCTGGACTGGAACCACATGTTTCAAGATTTTGCGTGAGTTGCATGAAGAGGATATGCTTGTGGAAGAGGATCCTCACACACTTAATCAGATACGGCTCATTCATCGGAATCTGGGTCATCCTAATCATCAAGTAATGCGAAGAATGTTCAAGGATGCCGGGGCTTCTCCAGCTGTCCTGAAGCAGGTAGAACGTTTCAGGTGTGATCACTGCCTGCAACGTGGAAGACGAGCTGCCTGTCATCCGGCCACTCCTCCCCCAGTCCGTGATAAATGGGAATGTGTGAGTGTGGACACGTTTTGGTGGCATGTTCCCAAGGAATTGCTTTCCCCTGGACAAGAGGGTCAACATGTTGTTGGAATTTCCTTGTTTGATGAAGCGACTGACTACCATACTGTGGTGATCGTGCGTCAAGGCAAACATCCCCAACATGTGATTTCGGGGAAAGAGTTCAAGGAGGGCTTTTTGGAGGGTTGGATCAAAAGGTTTCCGGTCCCCCAAAAACTGAGATATGATGAGGAAGGTTATATGAGGGCCATTGGTTTGATCAGTTGGTTAGAGAGTCTTGGCATTAAGATGGAACCAATAGGTGGAGAGAGTGCTTGGCAGATGGGCAAACATTCCCGACATTTACAGATTTTGAAAGAAAACGCCAATTTGTTGGCTCACGAGTTGGGACCTGACACGGATGCCAAAGAATTGTTGCATTTGGCTGTCATGGCCAAGAACGAAGTCCACAACGTGAAGGGATACACTCCGAATCAATGGCAGTTTGGTGCCAACCACGGACGGATTAGCTCCTTTCTCCGATTTGATGGACATCTCCCCTGGGATAGCCAGCGCGAGGAACCTGACTTCGAAGTTGGTTTGAAAAGAGAAGCCGCGGCCAGGAAACTTTTCATTGAGGCCGATTCGCAGCGACGTTTGCAGCGGGCCCTGCGAGCACAAAGTAGGCCACTCAGAGAGTTCACAGTGGGACAACTTGTTTACTACTACCGTAGAGATCGAAAAGAAGGAACTCGTGTTGCGGGTAGGTGGCATGGTCCAGGTAGGGTGCTTTGTCATGAGAAGACTTCAGAACAGTTGTTGACCAACCATCCTGGTTCGATTGTTTGGGTCAGTCATGCTGGGTTCTTGCTGAGATGCGCACCTGAACAATTACGACCTGTGACACAAGATGTACAACATATTGATATTCAGATCAATGGACCAGCTGATTTTGAAACTATGTATCAGACGTTGAGAAGACAACAAAAGTTTCATGATTTGCTGCAAGATCTTGAGGACGTGCCAGACGTGTCGCCTGATTTGAACATGCCAAGATTTCGATGTCAAGGAAAACGGACTTTGGACGTAGTTGATCCTCCTGATCCTCGCCCCCCTTTTTCGAGCGATGGCCATGAGCGCGCCAAGCAAGCCAGAACTGAGCCTCAAGGAGAACTTGGACAAGCTGAAGCGCTTGACCAGCCACGCAACAGGCCAGGACATGGTGGAGAAGGCAAAGACCATGCCAATGATCGAGCTCAAAGCCAAGAAGATCGATTTTGGGAAACACAAGGGCCTGACCTTCGAGGAAGCAGCAGCTCAGCCGGGCTACGCCGAATGGGTGGCGAGCCATGTGAATCCAGAGAAGAGCAATCCAACGATGCAGATGTTCGTGGAATTTCTGAACCGTCGGACAAAAGCTCTGGTGCAACAGATGGAGGCCGCAGCCGGTTACGGGGGCACAAAAGAGGACACACAGATGAAGACCGGGAATACCAAGAAGCGGGGCGGACTGGACGAGCTGTTCGAAGAGAAGGTCGAGAAGGGGGACTTCGAGCACTGGACAGTGACCATGGAGGAACCCTCAAAAGAGATGATTCAGCTGCAAGAGGAAACCTCAGAGCTCAAGATGCGCATGGGTCAGATGGAAATCATTCTGATGCAGATCGCAGAGAAGCTGAATCTCGGGTAGATAGGACCAACAATCCGAGACATCGGAGCAGGACCCCACACAGGGATCCAGCGAATATAAGACGGGAAGAGAGTACAGAACACTCACGGCCTGTCCAACTTACTACCATACCTGAAGAATGCGATGAAAGGAGTGCTCTGTTGTTTGCTCAGGCTGTTGAGAGTACTTACACAGTTGAAATTCATTTGAATGTGTCGACACGTGATGTTCATTGCAAAAGAGGTATTTGGGTCCTCAATCAAAAGGCGAAACGAAACGTTGAAGTGAATTTTCGAAAACTGAATGAAGAAGACAAGAAAGAGTTCTTGAAGGCCATGGGAAATGAAGTGGACTCATTTACTTCAAATAGTGCTGTTGAGATTTGTGCTAGGGAGGGAGTTCCACGAGAAAGAATCCTTGGCATGCGGTGGGTCCTTGTTTGGAAACCAGTACAAGATGAAAATGGAGTACAGGTCGGTAGGAAGGCTAAGGCCCGTCTTATTTTGAAAGGATATCAGGATCCTGAGCTGTTGTCAGTGCCTCGGGAAGCAGCCACTCTGAGCACACTGGGTAGAAATACCATTTTGTCACTTGCAGCTCAACGAAGGTTCAAGGTGTTTCTAGGAGATATCAAGACTGCCTATTTGAATGGAGATCAGACGGAGTTAGAACGAAAAATCTGGGCTGAACCACCTGAAGAAGTGAAACAACACTTGAACATGAAACCTCATGAGCTTTGGAGAGTCGCAAAAGCCGTGTATGGTTTGTGCCATGCGCCACGGAGATGGTTTGAGAAGCTACAATCTGTTCTGTGGGGCTTGAAGTGGCAATCACATCAATTGGATCAGTGCGTGTTCATCCTGACCGATCCAACTACTCAGGAGATTTGTGGCTACCTAGGTGCACACGTGGACGATCTGGTGGTCGCAGGCTCCGGGTCTTTCTTTGAAAAGCAAGTCCAAAGGCTTCGAGATTCCTTTCCTTTCGGAAGCTGGGAGTGTGCACAAGAGAAGAGTGTGAAATTTTGTGGATGCGACATTTTTCAGACCGAAGATTTTGATATTTGGCTGAATCAAGAACGTTTTGCTCTTTCCATTGACGAAATAAATCTCGAACGTTCTCGAAAAGACATGAAACATGACCTGGCTACTCCGGCCGAGAAATCAGAGATGAGGCGAGCTTTGGGAGCATTGAATTGGAGAGCAGTTCAAACGAGTCCTTGGTTGCTTTCGACGGTTTCCCATCTACAAGGATGTGTGGAGACGGCAACAGTGAGTGATTTGATGGAAACCAATAAGGCTATTAGGTGGCAACGACGACACAGTCACGTGAAACTGATTTTTCCACATCAGGTGAAGGATAATCTAATTGTGACGTTCTGTGATGCCTCTTGGGCAACTAGACGTGATGGTAGCTCCCAGGGAGGGGCACTTACAGTTTTGATGAACCGAGATACCCTGAATGGAAAGCTCAGTCATTTTTCCGTGCTGTGCTGGACAAGTCGGCGCCTTCGACGAATTGCCAGATCCTCAACTAGCGCAGAAGTCCAGATGACAGGAAACGGACTTGACGAACATGAATTTGTGAAACTGTTTGTTTACTTGATGAAACATCCTGGACATGTGGACCTCAGAAACCCGGACAACATACTAGCTGCTGAAGAGTCATGCATTTTGAGTGATGCTAAGAATGTTTATGATGCTCTTGAGAGAGTACAGACATGTGGCCTCCAGATGGAGGAACGAAGGACTTCGATTGAGGTCTTAGGCATCCGTGAACGTTTGAATCAGGCGAACGTTCGATGTCGCTGGGTGTCAGGAGATCAGGAACTCGCAGACGGCTTAACTAAGCCTTGGAAGGGTGAACAGCTTATACAAGCTTTGAACCAAACGACCTGGAGAATTGTGTTCGACCCTAATTTTGTGTCAGGAAGGAAACGGAAACAGGTGAAACAGCTGGAGACGAAGTATGGTGATACCGATTGGCTGAACCTGGTTTGTTTACTGGACGATTCGAACTTTGGTCAAGAAAATTTTTGGGGCTGTGTGAAAATGAAGACATCCATTGACCAAAGAGATCATTCCTCTACCATTGGGGTTCAAGACGTGCCCTGATGTGCTGATAGCGGACGCGCATTCGACGTGCTCAGCCATAGCGTGTTGGAAATAGTTTCGCTTCCGCTCCGTGTTGGTGGTTTGAGAGAAAGGTGCACATACATTGTGTGTTGGTTGTGTGGCAGTGCATTGACTGTTGTTGAGTTGTGGCCTCCGCTTCCATATTTACAGAGGCCATCGCTACTAGGGTGGAGACCATCGCGTTGGAGGCCATCGCTACTAGGTTGGAGGCC